CTGGTCAAGCGGAGGAAACCTCCATAAACCACCATGCCTCTATAGCATGGGTCGTCAACCTGGTCCCTACCGCCCACTAGTGGGCGTTTTAGGATTCCAGGTGGGCGGTAGGGATTTCTGAGGCTAAATCCTCTTTTTAAGAGGATTTCTCCTTTTGGGCGGGCGCGAGCGGCTCTGCATGCGCAAGTCTTCAGTGACCGGCAGGAGGAAGCGCTCCCTCCTGCCAGGCCACCTTCTGGACCCCCCGGCATGGCAGCGTTCTAATCAGTCGCGGCGAGGGAGCTCTAACCTCTCTGCTCTGCTCCCTCGCGCGATGTTTGCTGATGCCGCGGGAGCCGGAATATGATGTCATATTCCGGCTCCCGGCATCCGTAGACAGTCCGCGAGGGAGCAGAGCAGAGAGGTTAGAGCTCCCTCGCTGCGTCTGATTAGCCGCCCGCCTAAGTGAAGCCCCACTGGACCCCAGGGACAGATCCACACCAGCTCTCCAGGTAGGGAGGCTGGGTGGATATTTAATATTAATAATTTGTGTGTACATGTGTTTGTCTCTAAGTGTATGTGTGTGTGTCTGTAAGTGTATGTGTGTGTGTCTGTAAGTGTATGTGTGTGTGTCTGTAAGTGTATGTGTGTGTCTGTGTCTGTAAGTGTATGTGTGTGTCTGTGTCTGTAAGTGTATGTGTGTGTCTGTGTCTGTAAGTGTATGTGTCTGTCTGTAAGTGTATGTGTCTGTCTGTAAGTGTATGTGTCTGTCTGTAAGTGTATGTGTCTGTCTGTAAGTGTATGTGTGTGTGTCAGTAAGTGTGTGTGTGTCTGTGGGTCTGTCTGTGCATGTGTGAGTGTCTGTAAGTGCATGTGTGAGTATGTGTATATTTGTGTGTATGTGTTTCAATGTGAGTGTGTGTGTGTGTGTGTATGTGTTTGCCTGTGAGCAGAGTACTTGTAGAATAGAAGAAAGAAGGTGCAGAGTACTTGTAGAATAGGAGAAAGAAGGAGTAGAGTACTTGTAGAATAGGAGAAAGAAGGAGTAGAGTACTTCTAGTATAGGGGAAAGAAGGAGTAGAGTACTTCTAGTATAGGGGAAAGAAGGAGTAGAGTACTTCTAGTATAGAGGAAAGAAGGAGTAGAGTACTTGTAAAAAAGGAGAAGGAAAGAAAAGGAAAAGGAGAGAATTGTTGTTGACTAATAATAGTAAGTGGGCTACCTAGCTCAGCCTTCCTACTGGGCATTGCTATAAGGAAGGTTAAAAAATAGAAAAAAGGGGAAAAAGGTGGGAAGGGGAATTGAGGAGGGAGAGGAGGGGAGCTGACGCACAGATGAGAAATCATTTTATGAGCAAACAAAGAAGTCTTCCGATTATCACTGAAAGAGGAGACCTTCGTTTGTTCCTTATGAAAATCGAACCAGATATCAAATATTTAGTCTCGCAGCATCAACCTCAAGGATCTCATTAATCACTAGTAAAGGTAAGTTCAATTTACTTTATTGCTTCCTCATTAAACTTTATAAAGTTAAAAACATTATAAACATGCATAAAGTAGAAATAAAAAGATAAATGTACGTTCATTTATGTATTTTTTAAAACACCCTCCTTTCTAAAAAATATTCCGCGCTTGCGCGAAAACTGGTGGGCGGTAAGGAAATTTTTCCATCAAGAAAGATGCATTAGTGGGCGGTAAGTGGAAAAAGGTTGACTACCACTGCTCTATAGTCTTATTTTAGCAAGCACTGGCAAACCACCACAAGATTAATGTTTGTGTCACCAATGGTTTTTAAAATATATAGCCACTGGCTGCTTGCACCTTCAGTGGGCATATAGTTCATATTTTTAAAGTTCTGGCCCAGATTGGAAGCATATGTGATCAGATTTTAACAATCCAGTTTTGGTTTTCTTGGACCATGTTCAGGGTCGTTTGGAGCCTTCCCTGCAAAATCTGGACATAGCTGAATTGAAAGAAAAACGTCTGTTTTTTGCATTCCGAATGGTCTTGTACAGCACTGAATGGGTTTGCACTATTCAGTACGGGCAACTTAGGGTTGAGTGAAAAACCCTTAACCCCTTAAGGACCAAACTTCTGGAATAAAATGGAATCATGACATGTCACACACGTCATGTGTCCTTAAGGGGTTAATGTTACTATTTTTTCTTTACTAAATTTGGCGTTAAGGAATATGGAGGCGGAGAAATTTGCAACATACATTACGTACAACATTACGGAAGGAATGCCAAGTGATGGTATGCTTCTATGCCATGTCTCTGCACATAAGCACACAAAAATAAATTTAGCACGGAAGCAAAGTGATAATAGTCCAAAAGCAGCTTGAGCACCAATAAAATCTCTCTTTTCCGATCAGAAAATTGGATAAAAACAGGGGGGTAGGTGCAGCGCTTCAGTAATCCTTGACAAGGTATATGTGAAGAGAACCAGAGAAGAAATAATAGTGTAGTATTTAAAACTGTAGTGGTGATAAGTAAAATAAAAGATGTGCCCTCACACTTCCCTGGAGCTTCAATACAGCTCTAGTGTATGTGCCTGGGCGGAATAATCCCCACCTATGGATCAAGTGCAGAGGCAATTCTTCAAGTTATAGGTGTGGTAGGGGGTATCCTCATAAAAACAAACAAATACAAATCGTATATGGTGAATTATGTAAAGCTATGAAGCAAGGGTAGGTAAAAACTATAAAATGTACACTTACGTGGAAAGGAGCCGTAAAACCTGGCTCCTCTGATAGCGCTATCAGAGGAGCCAGGTTTTACGGCTCCATTACACTGGAGCTGTATTGAAGCTCCAGGAAAGTGTGAGTGCACATCTTTTATTTTACTTATCACCACTACAGTTTTAAATACTACACTATTATTTCTTCTCTGGTTCTCTTCACATATACCTTGTCAAGGATTACTGAAGCGCTGCACCTACCCCCCTGTTTTTATCCAGATTTCTCTGCACATGCCTGAGTGCTTGTGAGCTTGTCGGGGGGCATCACAGGATAATAACTTTTCCCTACACACAACAGTACTGTGAGAGTAAGTGTGCTTTTTACTTAGCTCAACTGCATTACTTGGCTCAGTAAGAAATTTCCTGGGGTGAAGAAATAAGGAGCTGTCACTTTCAAAGGCGTGACAATTCCTTTTGAACGCATGCTCATATTTTAGTTACACTTTTTATAAAAAAAAGTAATTTTAAAATTTTTTTTACTGGTACAGATTCTTTTGCATTAACTGATATCACTATACATAACTCCATCTACATTATTAATCCTTCACAAAATTCATAATTAATTTATCTTTCAGCAACAGAAAGGTTAAAATCTGCAGGCAGATTAAGGCAAATATCTTCTTCCATCTCCATTTGGTTAGAATAAACACAGACCCATTAGGCTCTCTCATATGGGGGTCAACTCCTCCTCCTAATAATGTTCAAAAGCCCTTTATCATATAAACAGTGCTGCCCTAATATATACACACAGCAAAGTGGGTATTTGATGTTAAAGAGGCCCAGATGTCATTACAATTTAATTTGTTTATATATATATATCCCCAAGAGAGAAAAAGAGAGAAGAAAGAGGGACGAAGAAAGAGGAATAATGCAAAAGAATGAAATCATATTTTCCATAATTTACCTGCATGTAAAATTATGTTGTTCAATGGTTTTTAAGCTTTAATTATTATTACAACAAAATACTTTTATTTCAAAATTAACTTAGCCTTGCTTATTTTATAGGTGTCTGCATAACTGGGAACTCACCATGTTTCACTCAGTGATTCCACTCAGTTCTTCTCCAGGAAAACTGGGGTACCAGAATAAAAGGTTGCAGTCTATGGGGCTTATGAATTATGCATACCATTGGAACATACATTTATCTAGAAGATCAGAGTTACTGTGGGTTTGCAAAGTATGTCTGCTCACCATGTGAAAATGCCCAAAAGTTTTGTTTCCAGAAAGAGAAGTTCCCATGCATGGGTATCTCGCTTATTAACCTCAAAAAGGAGACTAGGCTTTTAAAGAGTGCTTCCTTATTATTCACCATTCCTTTTGATAAATACAACTAGAGTTTTCACATACATTGGGCTCATTTCTATGCTTATCGGTAAAAAGCAGCTATTAAATATTTTAAATACACACAGATGTATATAGCTATAAAATGTAGGCATAATTTCAAGGTTAAAGGGACACTATAGTCACCAGAACAACTACAGCTTACTGTATTTGTTCTGGTGTGTATATTCAGTCCCTGCAGGCTTTTTGCAGTAAACACTGTTTTTCAGAGAAAAAGGCATTGTTTACATTACTACCTAGGGACACCCCCACTGGCCACTACTCAGATGGCTGTTAAAGGTGGTTTAGGGGCAATGCTGCACACTGACATTCAGTGTCTCCACCCTCTGCATGGAGACACTGGACTTTCCTCGTAGAGATGCATTGATCCATTGTATCTCTAAAAGGAGATGCTGATTGGCCAGGGCTGTGTTTTGCTTGTGCAGGCTCTGTCTCTGATATGCCTCCTTCTCAGTTTCAGCCAAGCCTATGGGGAAGCATTGTGATTGGTTCAGAATAACACTTCTGATCATGTTAATAACCCTGTTAAAGAGATAATGTTAGGTCATTTTTACTGTGTAGCATGCAAATCAGGTGCTTCTTAGCATTTGAGTAAGCTGCTAATTACCATTTGTTAAACATTGAAATTGTTAGCATGACAACTATTCACTAACATTTTACAGCCATTTTAGCAATTATATTGCTAATTTATTGCGGCACCAATGTCTTTGTATAATTCCTGCATGTAGAGATGCTACATCAGAGCAGTGATACTTTGATGCAGTTGCAAGCTGAGCTTTTTTCTTCATAAAACAGTTCCATTTTTTAACCCCTTAAGGACAGCGGGTGTTCTATGCCATCCTTAAGGAGCCGAGCCTAAACGCCGGCAGGCGGCTCACAAATGGTACTTTCACTGACGATATTGTTGTGATACGTTTTACTGATTTGAAACCCCCATGATAGCATACCATTTGCAAAAGTAGACAACCCAAGGTATTGCAAATGGGGTATGTCCAGACTTTTTTAGTAGCCACTTAGTCACAGACACTGGCCAAAGTTAGCATTTATATTCATTTTTTTTCATTTTTAACACACAAACAAATATAAAAGCTAACTTATGCCAGTGTTTGTGACTAAGTGGCTACTAAAAAAGACTGGACATACTCCATATTGAATAAACCTGGGTTGTCTACTTTTGCAAATTGTATGCTGTATTGGGGGTAATTCTAATTTCTGGGCTACAATACAGTGTCAAAGGCAACATAACTAGTCTGGCAAATTTCAATGTGTATAAACTGAAAAATTAACCGTGCTATATTTAACTTTCCAAAACACCATAAAACCTGTACATGGGGGTTACTGTTGTACTCGGGAGACATCGCTGAATAAAAATATGTGCATTTTATTGCAGTAAAAACTAACAGTATTATGACATTCACAGTTAAAATGCCACGCAGAACTAAAAAAAAAGTTTAAATCTTAATTTTTCACACTTTGTTTTTTAAAATTCTTTATTTTTGTAGTGCATATGGTTTTACCATACATGCTTGTGGTACCCCAACGGCAGTCCACTTGCTAATTTCAACGACAATAGATACAGTGGGTGGTGAGTAAACAATGCACATTTTTGAGTAAGGTATAGATTGACATAGTTATTTCAACAGGTTTAAGTTGTACGAATCTTAGCTGGTGATATCACAGATAATGCAGGAATTTAATGTTAATGAACAGGCTAAGTAGGCATGTTTAACTGGTGGGCACTCTGAATATGTGACACGAGCTGTCTATCCTTAGAATGTATCACAAGCAAGGAAACAGTCCACAAGAGTGACCGAAAGCGTTGCTTAATGAGATGCACATTTAAAGATTGTGTGTTATATGGCCATATGAACCTTTCTGCGCATTTTTATAACAGGTTATACTTATCAAGCTAGGTACACCTCCCGAGTACATGTTGGCATAAAATACATTAGGCTAGGATCTGTTAGTGTGTCTGGTGTAAGCATAGGTTTGTGCAGTTCACTAGAAGAGATTTAAACAACAGAAAAAATAACGAAACTCAAAATTAACGTTGGAGTTTGACTATAACCTGACGAGCTGTAAGGTGGCACAAGTCCTTGAGTATGTACATGTGTACCACGCTCGGGGACATGTGGCACTGTCAGGCAATGCCTCGGCTTGGTATGGTCGTGTGGCCCCTGGGCGCCATCGGCTGCATCCGGGTGTTTTCCTGTGGTGGCTGTAGGTGTAGGTCTGGTTTGCCATCCCCTGTGCTCCATGTTGAGTCAGTGCGCCCAAGACTCCGGAGGGAACCCGAGTCCAGTGCTCCTGGGGGCTGCCTGAGTCTGTGGTAGGCTGCTTGCATCCGGGGGGCATAGGGCATGAGGTTCTCCGTCTGGCGGGGACCGGGATGTCCCCCGCCGGTCCATGGGGGGGGAGTGTGTCATACTCGCATGTAGCTTGTTGCGATCGGAGAGAAAGCGGCCATCTTTCCTTTCCGCCTCCCGTGGTAGGCATAGGCGTGCGCACGGGGTGTGCCGGGTTTGCCTGGGCACACCCTAATCCCCGCGGCACGCCTATGTATATTGAGACCGGCAGGGGAGATCTCAGGATCTCCCCTGTCGGCTCATGCAGAGCCGGCACTATCCGAGCGCCGGCTCTGCTCTCAGCCTCCCTCCCCACCGACACACATGCAGGGAGGGAGGCAGAAGAGGCCCGGCGGAGCTCTTGCCAGTAGCTCCGCCGGGTTCTTCTTGCGAGATATGAGTGTTGCCACGGCAAAAATCTCGCGAGAGTGAACTCTAGCCCCACAAGGGCTAGAGTTCACTCTCCACTGGACCACCAGGGATGGAAGCAGCAGCAACAAGGATCCCCCCTCCCAGGCATAAGGTAAGAAGGGAGGGGGGATATCAAGTAATGTACCCCCACCTCCACCCCCACAATCACACACACACATACAGCACGCACACCCACACATACAGCACACACAGACATACACAACATACACAGCACCAACACACATACAGCACCCACAGACATACACAGCACCCACAGACAAACACAGCACCCACAGACATACACAGCACCCACACACATACAGCACCCACACACATACACAGCACCAACACACATACAGCACCCACAGACATACACAGCCCCCACACACATACAGCACCCACACACATACACAGCACCAACACACATACAGCACCCACAGACATACACAGCACCAATACACATACAGCACCAACACACATACACAGCACCAACACACATACAGCACCCACAGACATACAGCACCCACACACATACAGCACCCACACACACATACAGCACCCACACAGCACACAAACAGCACCCTCACACACAGCACATAAACAGCACCCTCACACACACACAGCACACTAACAGTACCCTCACAAACACAAACAGGACCCTAACAAACACACACAGCACACTACCAGTACCCTCACACACAGTACATTAACAGCACCCTCAAAAGCGCACAAACACACACAAACAGCACCCTCACACAGTACATTAACAGCACCCTCACAAGCGCGCACACACAAACACCCTCACCCACATAGCACACTACCAGCACTGACACACACACATCACACTAACAGCAACCTCACACAGCACACACACACACACAGCAGTGTGTGTATGCATGTATATATGTGTATATATGTGTATATATATATATATATATACATACATACATACATATATATATATATATATGCGGCGTGTGCTTGTGCTTTAGGGTGCACACCCTAATGCAATAGGCTGCACACGCCTATGGTGGTAGGCCTCAGCTTGCAGTGGCGGTGCCCGGTCATTCCGGGTGTCAAGCGTGGCATCGTTCGGTTCAGGCAGGGTTGCCCAATGCTGTGGGCCTGTTCACAGAAGGTTTGGTGCTCTGCAGCCCGGTTAAACAGTAGAATTAGGGTTCGTGTGGTGGGAGCTCTAGCAGAGCACGTCCAGCCAGCTCGTTGGTTAGGCTCCGTCCCCTTTTTAGATTTTATCCATAGTAAATTATGTTTTATATATGAATAGTTCATTTGAAATTAAAGCCCTGTTTCTCACCCAGTAGCCACATGTGAGGTCCGGGTTGTGGATAGTAATCGGTCCACCGCCCATCATTTATTTTATAGGCACCCACCTGATGCACCTGGGTAGGGTCTCAGGGAAACTATATCCTGGTGTTTAGCAGGACCCAAATTAAAGACCCACAATTCAGTTCAAATTCAAGCCAGTATTGTAAGATCTGGACATTGTGGAATTGCGCGAACAATGTCCTGGTTTTGCAGTTCGGATAACCCTGCTTATGCAGCTGAATGGTTTTGTCCCATTCATATTTTAGTAAATAATTCCTTAGACCTTCTTTGGTCAGATGCACCTTTTATCCTTCTCCCAGACTATGCATAATATATAAAGGTGAGAAGAGTCCAGGTTGCATTTTCAAGATGCCAAGTACTTGCGTATGATTCCAGGATAATTGAACGTGCCATAGTTCTTGATTACCTTCATGATTTTATGTCAGATAAGAAGTGCTGCTGACAACAGATGAGTTAAAGATGGTTCAGCAAAACACCAGTAAACCAGAATATGCACTTAAAATAGGGTTTATGTTTTTATTCTAAATAACAATTTAAAAAAAATATATTAAAAATAATTATGCCATGTGAGTGGTATATCCCTCTAGGATCCAAGAGGTGAACCTAAAATACAAACATACTTCTGAAATTGTGGAAACTTTTGAAAGTGATATATGGATCTGAAGTGTGCACATAACATGAAATCTTCCCGTGCATAAGGTCTGGCTTTTCGATATTCAGTCTCTGAGCTTTGGTGTTCTAGTAGGAGATGTTAAAATGGGGGGGTGGGAAAGGGGGTCACTCTCCCATTACAAAGCCTTAGTTACTCAACAGAATTACATTAAGCAGCCCTGCTTTGCTCCATGTTGGATGGTGAGGATAGACCAACTCAGCAATGAACAAAGTGGAATTCATGTCGAATACTATAGTACACAGTTGTAAGCCAAAGTCAATGTCATATATGTCTTGGCTGCAGAACAGATAGTCAAACTTGGTTTTTCAATCAAATGCAGCTCATAGGGTGGTCTCACATGAAAAAGGGGTGGACAGCCTGAAAAAGGGGCAGGCCTGCTACTTGACAGTCAGCCTGGCCGACCATCAGCTATCAAGTCCATGTAGAAAGTGCTTCCTGCATGGCCATAATGCCCACTTAATAACGCAAGTGCTTCTAATGATGCGCTTGTGCAGTGCTGCCAGGGGACAGTTCCCTGGTGTCCTCAGATGTGGGAAACCAGGAAACTAAAGTGGGACAGTGGGTCAGACCCCAAAATCGAGAGGCATGCAACAGCCCACCTAAACTCAAAAAGGCATATTATAAGTATGAAAACAGGAGCCCCCTACAGGATATGCACCTGTAGGCGACTTAAAACAACTTAATTTGCTTAAAGGGTAAATCCAGCTCTGACTTTGTCCTGACCTTCCAGACACTTTTATGATAAACACATCACAGGAGATGGCTATATAAAAGTATACAGCCTACAATAGTGCAGTGTCCCACAACATATAATTTGTGATTCAAACAATAGTTGTCAGACCTTCAAGTTTGTGATAAATCCTTATTGCCATTGATTTACTTCTCTAAACCCCTTGGATACATGACATCTTTAGGCTCTTCTTGGTAACTAGAAGTGCACCTGAATGGATTATTTTTTGATATTTAACAGATGTTAATGCATACTATATCTTGTATTTAGAGATTTTGTAATATAGCTACTATCATTGATGTCTCTCTGTCTTCCATGGTTCCATTCTCAATACTTAAAGGAACAATATAGTGCCATAAACACAAGCACTATAGTTTTAAATCTACTATTTAGGCCCCCCGCACCCCACTCTTTACTTCAAAAGGGTAATTTACTCACCTTTATTTCTAGCACGAAACTTCGCCTACATAGCTGAGATAAACAAATTTCCCATAGGAAAGTATCGGAAGACTTGCCTATAAGCTGCGCCTGTTAGAATCTCGTCATAGAGATGTATTGAATCAATGCATCTCTATAAGGAACATTTAGCTCTTCCATGCAGAGGGTGGAAATGCTGAATGTGGGTGCTGCACACTGTGTTCCTAGGCAGTAATGTAAGCATTACAATTTCTCTGAAACCTAC